AAATTGGGGGTCCCATGTGCGTCTCAACTATGGAACATGCTCCGAATTTTGATCCTTCGTGACTTTAGGGTTTTTTTTTTTCAGTGGCGTCAAAATCCATTCCCTAATCATTATTTCTTCCACTAAACCCAACGTTTAATTAACCAAAAATATATATATTTAAGAAATAATGCTTGTAGTAATCTTTTTGTTCGTGTGTTGACGAAATCTCAACGGCCCTTTCTGATTGGTTGGCGCCACCTCACCCAGTGCACTTTAGCAGCAGTCAAATGACAAAGGTTTTTGGTCACCCGCGAAAAACGATAAATAAATAGTGAAGAGATAAATTATAATAGAGTTTTTTTTTTTTAATTTTTTTTAACGAACCCATTTGACAATGTGCAAAGTCTAGTTAGTGGGCGGACCGGAAAATTTGAAGTGCGGGCTGTGTTGGGCCGGGCAGCGGGCCTCACCCACCCGACAAAGCCCGGGTTCTCCGGGTGCCACGTGGCGTATTTGCATGGCATTTCAGTGACATTTCCCTCTTTTTCCTTCTCTCGTCGTACTCTTATTGTTTCTCTCTGCAATCCATGGTGGTCCTCCGGCTCCACCACCGCCGCGGACCACCACCACCACCACCCACCGGCCGCCATCACCGGATCGGTTTTTCCCATTTTATATATTCGAACATCTCACGTTTTCTTGAGTTGTCGGGAAACGGTTTCCTCCACCATCACCGCCACTACAGCCCCATCTCGGTCGCCATCCTCACAATTTTCTTCTTTCTAAAATAAAAAGTTTGGTGGAAACATGTTTTTAGTTAATAAGATTTTATCTACAATAAAATTTTGGCTAAATTATTAAAAGTAAAAAAGAAGAAGAGAGAGAAGAAAAACACGAACTATGTATCTGTTTAAAAAATATTTTAGTGAGTTTCAACCCTTATAATCGTTTCAAAGTATTTAGAATAAATATCTATTAATATTTTGAACCAAAAGTTAACGTGATAGAATATAAAATAATGGGATAATTGATGTAGAAACTTGCTTAGAATACGCCAATTTTACTAAAAAGATCTTCTTCCATGGTTAATAGTGTTTGCTTCTCTATCATCTATCCAATTTTGTCATAATCTCTATCTTCAAAATGATAATTTCTTCTAAATTTCTTTCTTTTTAAATTTGTTTTCATGTTAATTGTCAGGTTTTTCAAATTTTGCTACGTCAAAACTCTATTAAAAAGGTAAACAAATGCCTTGATCGAAAAAGATAATTTTGAAAGGTACTACAGGAATAATATAATATACCAAATTAATTAAATGTCTAACTGTGTGAATAGAATAAGTAGATTATTACGAGTACATATTTTCCCTTTGTCTACTTATTGGCTAGCAAAGGAAAACTCTCCTTAATTAATTAATTACTTCTTTTTTTTGAATTGATATTTATATCTGGCATTTAACAAATAAGTGGATCTCATTTAATACTTTCAAGAAATTTTAAAATTACCATGTTTTTTTTTCCTGAAAAATTAATTAACCATGTTAGTAGAATGAATTTTCTCCATTTAATTATTGACCTACATTTAAAAATAATTTAATAAGTTGTTCTTTTCAAAAACAAAATAATTTTCAAAATGTGAACATAAGATTGATTTTAATTCTTTTACGTTGATCAACTAAATCTTACATTTAAAATGTATATTCCTAAATTTCTCCATCATAAATTTATTCATTTTAATTTTTTTTAATAGAAATTTATTCATTTTAATTAAAAATGGTAGGTTGGAGATGTTAATATCAAATAGGTATATTCCCAAGGTTATTTTTAGGGTTTGAAGGGAACCCAAAATTTGACTTTAATAATAAAAAAAAAAAGTTAAAACTTTTTATTAGAAACTGAAGCACTTTATGCCCTTTGTCACGTGTGATTATTCTGTCTACCACTCCATAATAATTGCCTTATTGCATCCGAGCTGTTGATCCCACCGGAAAATTTTTTAAGGAATATAATTTTTAGAGACTTCTAAACAAATACTTACACTATCTAAAGTATCTCCACCGTTGGATCGTGGTGGAGCCGGCGGCCGGCGATGGGCCTCGCCGCGCCGTCGAAGTGGAGTTTAATTATGACCACTCATTGGGCGGCGGAGAGTGGGGTTAAGAGCGTTCATTTCGCGCGTGTTTTTCAGCGGTGGCGGGTCCATTTGGCGGCTTAGCTTGAGCCGAGTCGTGGGTGCGTCGACCGGATTATTATTAGCCGTCCCTCTCGGCTTAATCGGCTCAGTCGTAGCTTATCTTTCCCTGACTCGCTATTTGGTACTATACTCGCTTTCTGCGGAGCGTGACGTCAACTTGCTTGAATACTTATATGATATATCGGTCCAGCGGATATCTTACTTTTTTTTTTTTTTTTTTGTTCTTATAAGGGGCGGAACTTATAGGAATTAATATTTAAATTTTATATTGGTTTGAAACTTTGCAATGTTTTGACTGAAGTTTTTCTTTATTTTATTTTGGTGGTTGAATTTCGTAAACGTTTATTTTAATCTCTAATTTTCTTAAATAATTATTTTGGTATTAACTATTTAGCAAATATGTGGTGTGGCGTGAGTTTAGATTGGGTATTGAAATCTTTGAAGACCAATTATCGTGTAGAGTGTCAACATGTAGGGAGACTTTACTTAGTAAAATTATTCAACATCAACTTGCATATTGACACAAGTCCGGTTAGCTTGTCATTGTGCGGCCAAACTGACCTTATTTCGCCTACTGACCGACCTATTCTAGGTACGAGTCGATATTTGAAGAAAGTCCACGGGTGCGAAGACAACGAGGATGTTCTTCGACAACATATCACGTTTCCTAAAATGTTGGAGAGTTATTGGACCGCTGTCGAAAGTCTTGTCAGAGTTCATCCGTATAAATAGAGATCTCCATCTCCCATGCAAGATGCACGAAACTATTCTCAATTTAAACAATAGATTGGATCGAATACTAACTTGCTCATTAGAATTCTAACCTTGTATTGCAAGTACCTCAAACATCAACATCTCTCATTCAAGCTTCGTGGACCCCAAACTTAATCTTTTTGAGGATCAAACAAAAATCAAGCAAGGAAAGGAGGCAATAAACATTTTTTAAGATTAACTAATCAAATTATTATTTTTTTATTAGAAACTTAAATAAATATTTGAAAGAATAAAGACTATAATAGTATTTAAACCCTCCTTCAGGAGAGGATATGGGTAATCATCCTAACACTTATAGAAACAATTATGAAATTCAAAAAATATATAAATTTGTTTCGAAAACAGTTTTCAAAATAAGCTTCCAATTTTATTTTCAATATTTAGGTTGATTTCATTTTCCTAAATTTTCAAGATTATTTAATTTTGCTATATCAACTTTTAAATTCATGGAACTTTTTAGATTTATTTCACTTTTAGTCTGAATTTTTACAATGTTTATTTAGCCTATCAATTTTAAAGAATAACTATTTAATCTTTTATTTTACCTTTAAGAAAGATTAGTGAATAAAGTGAACTATTAAAAGAAGAAAGATAAACGTACAAATTTTAAAAAATTAAAAGACTAAAATGCAAAATAAAAATTTAGAGAGAGTTAAACTTAAAAATTACTGCATTGCACTGAGGCACTGAAATTATATTTGTTGTAGACATCACAACATTATTCACAAACTCATTACTCAAATATGGTTCGATTGACTTTTTTTTAAAGAAAATTATCTAGTGGATCGAAATCCAATCCGAATGTCAGATTGTTTGTCAAGTAAAACACAAATATTTTTTTTTTTAAATATGGCTTTTGTTTATTTAACTTGGAAGGTAATATATAAAAGAAAAAGAATTTGGGAGGTTAGAGCAATACGTTAAAAATAACTCTGAAATGGTAAATATTTCAGTCTCTATGATTTAGAATTTTAAGTTAAGTCATTGGGATATTTTTGAAAGTTTTATTTTATTTATTTATTTATTTTGACATATTGAGATCCATATGATTTATTCTTAATTTCACTTTTGCTGTTATGATTGGGTTAAACCACATAAATTATCCTCAAATATGTTATGCCCATAGGAAGACCCTTTATATTTTGTTTGTCAAGAAAAAAAAAACCGGCTAAACTCTAATGCAATTAAATAACACATGTAAAAAAAAAAAAAAATTGCTAAGATGGCAATGACGTCAACAATTTGCATAAAAATCAACTTAAAACTCTTGAAACAACTCAACCAAATTCAAACTAAACTCAAATCCGCACAAATTATAAGAATTAAATTGAAATTAAACTTAAAAAACTATAGAGAGCAAATTAAAACTATGCCTCAACTATAAATATCAAATATGTAATTTAACAATAAAAAAATTTAAGTCAAATTACAAATTTAATCTTTAAACTCAATAAAAAAAATATAATGAGTCCACAAACCTTCAATTTTGTATCCAATAGTAATATATCACATACCTATTTGACATTTTTAAAAATTTAGACCTGTAATGCAAAATATTAAATTTTGAGTCTAATAAAATCTAACCTTTCAATTTTGTTATAGTATTTTGGAAAAATGTCTAATAAGTTATTAGATACAAAATTAAAAATTTTAACAACTTATCAAACACTTATTTTGAATTTAGGAATTAATTCTCATGTGTTTCTCATCACCAAATATTATAGGATAAACTGATCTGAACACTCACGGATATTAAAAAAACTATTAGACACAAAATTAAAAGATAACAAATACATTAGAGATAGAAGAACAATAAAGTGAATTAAAGATGTTAGAATCCATGTAAATGAATTAAATTTATCCCACCCATCAAAATTTTTAATTGAATGATCGTTTTTCATCCTTAACATAGTATCAGAATGAAAGATTACGTATTCCAATCGTTCACTTGAGGAAAAAAGAAGAAGAAGAAGAGAGTATTATGGTGGAGGTTATGATAATGATTAGAATGATGGCTATAAATAGGCGCAGTGGGTATGGTTGATGAGGAATAATATCACCATTTCTTCTATTTACTATCCAAATTCTGCGTCACCCACAAAACGCCCCGAGAAGAATCGAATCCCACGACCCCAATTTAACCCTCTCTCTCTCTCTCCTCCTCCCCCTCCTAGAGAGAGAAAAAGGCCAATCTTAAACCCTTCTGCTTCTACTCTGTTTCCTCTGCCATTCCTATTATATATAAATTCAATTCAGCCACCAATATACAGTGCTCAAAAGCCTCTTTTTCTGAAAAAAGCTTCTTCGAAAACTCCCACAGAACAGATTGCTGCTCTGTTTCTCTTTTCTTTTCTTTTGAGATTCTCTGGCAGTGGCAGTCGCAGTCGCAGTCGCAGTCGCCGGCCGCCGTCTTTGGGTTGAGCACCGCCGTAATTGTGGCGCATTAATTTCTGAGCCTTCGCCCCTCTTCGATTTCTGCTCATTTAAGGCCTTTTCGAAGTTAACCCACAAATTCCTCACCCCCCTCCCTGTTTTTCAGCTCGTTTTTTGGTTACTCTGTTTTTGTTTTCAGCTCTTTGGCTGATTTCTTTGAACGAGGAAAATAGATCTGTTTCTTAATTCTTTAAGACGGTGACGTTTCGAACAAGGTTGGGTTTTTCTCTCTCTCTCAATTTATTTTTTCCTTTTTTGGGGGGGTGTTGATTTTGATTATTCTGGGTTTTGGATCTGGGAACTTTCGTTTTCTGGGTTTTTTCGAATTTTATTTTAAATTTCTTTTAGTGATGGATTTTGTCTTATGTTTCTGTCTTGTTTGTGTTCCCAGTCCAACAGATCTGTAAAGATTTAGACGTTTGATTTTCGAGGGAAAAGAAAATGTTGGCGCAGAAGCAAGCAGAGGAAGCGATAGTTCCGACCGCCGGGACCGAGGCGGAGCACGTCGGCGCGAAGGAGGAAGGAGAAGAAGCCGACGGTGGAGAACAGCCGCAGAACTCTGTTTTCCAAATGAAGAACCTCCTCTGGCACGGCGGCTCCGCCTGGGACGCCTGGTTCAGCTGCGCCTCCAATCAAGTAAAATTCTCCCAATAGTCGCCGGAAAACCGCCCCGGAAAACCACTGAATCTCTCCCTGGTTTTGAATTTTACAGGTGGCTCAGGTGCTTTTAACGCTGCCGTACTCATTTTCGCAGCTCGGAATGCTGTCCGGAATCCTATTCCAAATCTTCTACGGGCTGATCGGAAGCTGGACGGCGTATTTGATCAGCGTTCTGTACATAGAGTACAGAAGCAGGAAGGAGAAGGAGAACGTCAGCTTTAAAAACCATGTCATTCAGGTTTCCGCCATTAAAGGCCTGCTTCTTCTAGTTCTGAAGCTTCCACTGGTACTGATGAAACGGCGTCGTTTTCATGTTGCAGTGGTTCGAAGTGCTGGATGGGCTTCTGGGACCTCACTGGAAGGCCGTGGGGCTCGCTTTCAACTGTACTTTCCTCCTCTTTGGATCTGTCATCCAGCTTATTGGATGCGCCAGGTAACGATATCAAAAATCAATTAATCATTCATTATTATTAATTTCTAAATAATCAAAATCTTTTAAGTTGATTAAAACCAAAGTACTTTTTAATTTTATTTTTTAATAATATTTAAAGTGTACTTGTTAGATTTTTTGTTTCCGTCATGGGTAGTTACCATTACCAGTTACATACCAAAAAATATATTTCAAAATTTCAGTAAATACTCAAGTCCAAACAATTTCACTTTTATTTATTTTTTATTTAAACCCCTTAGAATTGGTTATTTACATATTTTACCTCTATCATATAACGAACGCTCTCGAATTCTCAACCAAAATAATATTTTCTATCAGACAAAACCCTTTACATATTTAGAAAGTCACAAAATAGATAAAAAAAATGAGTTTTTTTTTAGGGAAAATGGTAATAATTCATAAATAGGGTAAAGATATTTAGGAGAAAATGAGGTGGATATTGAATAAATATTGAGATATTGATTTTATGTATTTATTTAATTTTGTGGTGAGGACAGTAATATCTATTACATTAATGACCACTTGGACAAAAGAACATGGACATACATTTTCGGAGCATGTTGCGCCACCACCGTTTTCATTCCCTCTTTCCACAACTATCGGATTTGGTCATTTCTCGGCCTCGGCATGACCACTTACACCGCCTGGTACATGGCCGTCGCCGCCCTTATCCACGGCCAGGTCTCTCTCTCTCTCTCTCTCCGCTACTCTCTCCGCCCCTCTGTCTGAAGTTGCTTTTTTCTAATGGCGGCGCGTGTGTGTGCGCGTGCAGGTGGAAGGCGTTACCCATTCGGGGCCGACAAAGCTGGTGCTCTACTTCACTGGCGCCACCAATATTCTTTACACCTTCGGCGGCCATGCTGTCACTGTGTAAGCTTTCTTTTTTCTTCTCCTTTTTTTTCCTAATTTAAATTTCTCTTTTTTAAAATATGAGAAATTTTGTAGAGGTTGGGATAAATTATAAATTTAGTCGCTCAATTTAGAATTACTTTTAATAGCTTGATAGTTATATATATATATATATATATATATATTTAGTGTATAATAGATTTTTAAAAATTTAAAAGAAATTTAATAGATCAAACTTTATATAATTTTTAAAGTTTAAGAGATCTATATTAGATACATTCTTAAAAGTTTAAGACTAAAATTTGCGAGTTAATTAAAATTTTTCATAAATAAAAAAGATCTTAAACTTTCAATTTTGTGTTTAATAGGTTTTGTGACCTATTAGACACAACTCTAAAACTTTAAAGAATAAACTCGTCAGCTAACTTAGATTTTTAGTTAAAAAGGTCCTATAATGTTAATATGTTTTCCTAATATTTAAAGTGAAGTCGTGTAGTCAACGTGAATTTCGCTCAATTGGTCAAGACATTTATCTTTAATCAAAAGATCGTTTGTTCGAATTCTCAATCTTACATGTTCTTGAGGGAGAATGAATGTTGGTACAATCTAATTTTTTTTAATGCATAGGTTAACTTCAAATTAAAGGTGAGGACTAATTTAAGATTTATTGTAGATATAGTGACAAAATTTATTTTTTAACATATTTCATTTTGGTCTTTTTGGAAAGATTTAGATTAAGATGGAACTCTCAACAAAGAAAAAGGAAAAAAGAAGCCTTAAGTTTTGCATTTATTGAATTTACATATTCAATAATAGCTTTAGAGTAAATTAAATTTAGGACGATTTTTTTGAGTTAAGAGGAGAACTTCTGATATGTGTGGATTAATTGTTTTTTCTTCTTCTTAGTTTTAAAAAATCAATGTTGAATATATTATAAAATTTCAAAGTAATTAAAAGTGATGTGTTTTTACCAATCTAGCTAATAGGGTGGTCGCAAGAAACATCTTCGTATGTCTAAATTCTTTTAATATTCATTTTTTTCACGCAATATTAAATTTAAAATTTGTCTAGAATAGTATTGCCTATTGAATTCCACTAATGCTCAAAAAAGCAAGTCCACATTATTTTTCTATCCTAACCAGGTAGGTGTAGTGATAAATTTTATAGATTAAAAAAAGACTTCAATTAATTAATTTAGCTAGCCAACTTTAGTTAGTTTATTTAATTAGCTCTATGATTGACGATTAATTATTGTAATCACAATTTATTGCCATTATTATTAAAAGATTAAAGAAAAAAGAATGGTGAATAAAAGAAGTGAAAATGATGCAGGGAAATAATGCACGCTATGTGGAAGCCTCAGAAGTTCAAGTCCATTTACTTGATGGCCACGCTGTACGTTTTCACTTTAACGCTTCCGTCAGCTTCCGCCGTCTACTGGGCCTTCGGCGACGAGCTCCTCAATCATTCCAACGCCTTCTCCCTCCTCCCCAAGAACAGCTTCCGTGACGCCGCCGTTATCTTAATGCTCATCCACCAGGTCCTCTTTTTTTTCTCACGCCTTGACTTCAAATTTTATTTTATTGCCTCTCTTTAATTATTCCTTTTTTCTAATTATTAAATCATTAAATTATAAATTTGGCCTTTAAATTTTTAAAATATGTCAACTTTCAATTTTTATATCTAATTTCGCCATATTCATGTTTATTTGATGTATTGAAAATATAAACTAATGATCCTACCAAGCAGCGATACAACTAAAGCATGCTAGGTAGACTAATTTCAAGTAGAAAGTCCAATAATGAAGTTGAAAATTTACCCAATTTTTTAAATCCTAAACCCACCTAAATTTAATACGTGGATAATGAATGTATTATTATGAAATGGGGGATTAATGGAAGAAATTTGTTTGGAATGAATGGTGGTGCAGTTCATAACATTTGGGTTCGCATGTACGCCGCTGTACTTCGTGTGGGAGAAAGTGATAGGAATGCACGACACGAAGAGCCTATGTTTACGGGCATTGGTCAGGCTGCCCGTGGTCATCCCCATTTGGTTTCTCGCCATTATTTTCCCCTTCTTCGGTCCCATCAACTCCGCCGTCGGTGCTCTCCTCGTTAGCTTCACCGTCTACATCATCCCCTCCGCCGCCCACATGCTCACTTATAGAAAAGCTTCTGCCAGACAGGTTCGTTCGTATAATTTTCAATTTTGTAGGATTATAAATTAAAACTTCTTTTTTAATTATTATTATTATTTTAATTTATTCCGGCAGAATGCGGCGGAGAAGCCGCCGTTCTTTCTCCCGAGCTGGACGGCGATGTACGTGGTGAACTGCTTCATTGTGGTGTGGATCCTGGTCGTCGGGTTCGGGTTCGGAGGGTGGGCCAGCGTCACCAACTTCGTCCGACAAATCGACTCCTTCGGCCTCTTTGCCAAGTGCTACCAATGCAAGCCCTCCGTCGCTCCCCCGCCGACACATCGTCACTGATGAGTCCACTCGCTTCCCAACTCGACTCCCACTCACTCACTCTCTACTTTGTAACATACACGTCATATGGATATGGATATGGATATGGAGGAGCCAAAAATAGTAATATTTTTCCTCTACAGCTTTACTTTCAAATGTTTGTCTCGGACTCGGATTCTTTTTTCAATTTAATTTCATTTTATCTATCAGTTTTTACTTTTTGGTGTAGTTTAATTATCTAATTTGCTAAGTTGTGATGTGTTTCTTTTTTGTCTACCAATTATAAATATCATTGTGTTATGTGTGTGTTTGTTTTTCATCGATATATATATATCTCACCTTATTCCGGTAAATATTCTCTATGAATAAGAAGTTATCTTGTGAGGAATAATATTATAATCTTATTTTTTCTTTCCGAATGCAAYCAATATAACTTTGAATCTCCGGAAGAATATCAGATGTCATTTACTGGTAAGCTAATCTTACAGTTTCAATCAAATATAATTATATATTTTCTAAAAAATGACGAGTAGTAGATTTTGAGCATGAACAATTATTCAAATCATTAGATGTAATTTTCATTATTATTTTTTTTTTCAAAGGAGAATGATAAGAGGTTATTGCCCATAGGCAATAAGAAATTATCAATGAGAGCATACCAATTACTAAATACAATATGCTCTTGGTAAGAGTTACTTTGTATATGTATGCCATAGGCTATGATTTGATTATTAGAGATATTTCATAATAAGAATAAAATATTAGAGAAATAGCAATTTAAAAATGTAATTACGACTATAATAGTTTAAGATTATTTTAATAATTATTTCTCCAAACGTTTGGTAGGTAGGTGCCCTTTTTTACAGAATATTTTTAGAATACAAATTCTTTATAATTCCAGCCATATATTAAAAAAAGAAAAAAAGACAAAAAGAAAAGGAAATGGAAGCCCAAATCATGGGCTTCTTTAAACTTTACTAACGAACTAAGTCCAATGGGCTGTCTAGTGGGCCTTAAAATCAAAATAAGCCCACTTACAGCTACTTCCTTCCTTTCCTTCCTTCCATTTTCTTCAACGACATGTCGTTCATAAAGAGCGCCAATCTGATATCTTGTCGAAGCTCCGGAGGCCCAGGCGGGTCGACTATAAAAGCTGGATCTTATCAGTCACATTCTCCACCCGAAACTTATCTTCGTGGTTCTCCCAGAAGCTTGCTCAATTTTCATTCATCCATGGCTTCACTTCCTTTCGGGCTTCTTCAAGCCGCTTCTCAATCTCCAACTCTTTCTCCTCGATTTTTCTCTTTCTCCAAATCCGAAACCCTAGGAACTTCTCTGCGTGCTTCTACTGCTTCTCTTGCGACCTCTGCAACTTCGTCTCCTTCTTCGGTTCCTGCTGGTATGCAATTCTTAAAACATTTCCAAGTGTTTGCATCTCTGTTCAGTTTCTATCGCCTGAATTTTGTTCTGTGTTTGCTTTTTCAGTGTATTGTGGCAGAGGCGATAAGAAAACGGAGAAAGGAAAGCGGTTCAATCACTCTTACGGAAATGTAAGCATCTCTATATCCTCTATTCGTTTTCTTGATTTTCTTATCTGGTTTTGAGTTCTTTTGTTGTCTTGTATGAGTTCTCTTTGGCATTTGGTTTTGAATTTTTTTGGGGGAAAAATGTTCAGGCAAGGCCTCGGGATAAGACGAAAGGGAGAGGGACTCCGAGAGTACCTACTCCGCCTGCTCCGCCTAGGAAAGATAAATTTGAGGATGATGAGAAAATTAAGATCGAGATTGACGACTCTCTGTTCGCTAGGTAGTCATGGAGCAACCTACTTCTGTTTATTTGAATGTGTTTTATAAATCCAGAAGGTACTTCAACTTCCTATATTCGCATTATTTTGTATGAATCCTTCAGTCGTTCATTGGCTTCGTGAATCCATTGTTTGTTTTCAGTCTACTTGTTCTTTCCCTAAGGAAATTACTCGAAGTATGCTCTCTCTCTCTCTGATTTTTAACCATTTCTGAGCTAGATTCTGACTAGTCCTACAACATAGGTGATCTGCATCATTAGTTGCCGTTTGTTGCTTTCTTCTCAAAGGAAATTGAAGTTAGCTTCCTCCTCAGTGGTTACCGAAGTCTAAGGTTGAGCTATTTAAGATTAACGTTGGATGCCAAAAGAATTTAGCAGCTTCATTTTTGTTTGACAAATCTCTTTTCAGTTGTCTTGGTTTTGCTTTATAGGGAAGATTTCAATTGCTTGTTTATCCACCAAGTTCTGAGCGGAGTTTGGGCGGATTTATCCAATATTATCTCTGAAATAGACTGATTGGGATTTTATTTTATTACACTTCTTGATTATATAAATATAAATGAAAAGTAATTACGACCTTGGATACGCTGTTTTCCATGACAAATTAATCGTAAAGTAGATTAGGTCTGTTTGCCGGCCTTCACAAATAATATATTTCTTTAACTCAATTTCAGCCGTCTATGTTGCCTTTTGTGTGTGTTTTCGAGGTTCTACTGTGTCTCTATAAAAAGAAAGTGTCTCTCCTGACTCATCATTGTCAACCAAAGCCTTTTAGACGACCATGTCAGGAGCAGAGATAACTGAAGAGGAAGAAGAAGAGGTACCTGGGTTTATTGACCCTGAAGATCAAAAGGAAAGAATCCGACAAATACTCAAGTACCAGAAATCTGTGTATTCTTTTTCCTCTTCCTCGTCTTCCTCTTCCACTTCCTCGTCCTCTGCAAAATCTTTAAGAAGCAGTAGTTTACTAGACTTGATGAAAGCAGGAAACACTTCTCTCAGGAGACTATTTGACATGCAGCATACTAGTTTGGCAACCTATTTCGATAAGTACGGTGGATCACCTATGATAAAGCCTATACCTTTGTGGGGCAGTGATTCTGATGTTGAAATCTGTGATGCTTGGGCATCCATCAAGATCGGACTCTCACGTGATTCTGGGTCTCACAGAACTAACTGCACATCAAATGGTAGCTTCATTGGCAGAAAGATAGGGTCCCAGAATAGCACAATTAGGGTTAGTAAGCCAAAGTTAACTAGGAAAAAGTCATTTCGGAAGCTCCCAAGATTTGGTCTATTATGGAGAAGCTGGAGATTTAGAGTTAGGTTCAGGTTGAGACGACTTAGAATTATGATTTGTGGTAAAATATTCTAATGTTAGCTAGAATTTTTTACAATTCTGACCGTAGAAGAGCTCTGTTCTCTCATCTAGCCTTGAAATTGTGAGGCATTTTTGCCTGTAGGGGTCTGAAAAACTTTTCTTCAGTTACATGGGCGTTGGCTTATCTGCTCTGCATATTGATTAATCTTGTGATACCCCCATAACCTCCCGCTCTGGCTACGATTAGAAGCAGAGAAATAGGATTTATAGAGATGACAACTCCGTTGTACAGAACCTTTGGGTAGAGTGAAAAGGTAAATTTATGATGGCTTACACTTCTTTTAATACAATAATATATGTGAGGTGGTGATTCGAACTCATGATCTTTTAATTTGTGATAGATGCTTTAACTAGTTGAAGTACGCTCAGGTCGGCTCTCATGGCTTTCACCTAGTAGGTGAACAATATACATATCCATTGTAGAAAGATTATTATCTCAACATCTTCTTTAGTGTTTTAACACCAGGGTGGGTTATTCTTTTAGCTTTTCTTCGTACCGCACCTTTTTCTCGTCTCGTTATTTCTATTCAAAATATGAATCAAGCCATGCATGTGATAAAGTCATTGTGGAAGTGCAACAAAAAAGAATAATATTTACATGTAAGCACCTAAATATCTAGTATTTAGACTAGGTAGGATCGAGTGGGAATTTTAGAGGTTAACTTTTAGCATCTACTCTCTCTCTACACTATGATTTTGTTTTTATAAATTATTCTTTACTCATTATTTTTAAATGGATCGACTCTAGCAATATTGAAAATTTTCCAAATTTTGGTACTTACCGGTTTTGCAATCCATCCAAGTAGTTGTTGTGTCGCTCGTTTTTCAAAACCTTAAACACTTTCTCTCTGTCCTATCAAAGTCTGAAGTCTTTGAAATTTAGAAGACCAAAGACGAAACATTACTACCGTATGAAACAGTCGGCGGCCACGACCTTCCTTTAGCTTCAAAATCGATTCCTCTTGGATCAATCAAACTTGCATTAAAGACTATTGTTGGATATATTTCTTGTCAAATTCATCCAAAACATTTCCTGAAAATAACGTTATACAATCAATTAAACGTTTGATACGTGAAGAATAGAAATCAGCTTTTTACCTTTTCCCCTTTTCAATTTGAAGCAACTTCTCTTTCTTGCTCATACGACCCCAAACATTATTCAATTTGTTCTTTCCATTTTTTTTTTTTTGGGGGTACGATACATATAGAGAAAGTCGAGTAAAGTTTGAAGCATTAAAGTATTTTTCACCACTTAGACAAAATACAGTAAGCTGGTTGATCTTTGTAAGATTATTAATGTTTAACATATAGTTCAACAAAATAAAATTTTCAAAAATATAATACCTAATGAAGGAAGCTAAAAGGCTACTTATGATTTCAATATGACACAATGATTTAAACTGTCGTCTGTCTAAGAAGGCCAAAAGAACACCGTACAGCCGCTGATGGGCAGCTTTTTGCCTGTGATTCTAACAAAGCCAGTAGGAAATAGGGCTGAGTGAACCCAAAAAAATTACAGCCCTTTTTTTTATACAACCAAAAGCAAAAAAGGGAAGAACTTTTCTTCACCTCAAGGCCCTCTGGAGGCAAGAAGCTGTGTCCTATGTAAATGCCAAATTGTAGGCCTGCTTACAAAATTTGTCTTCAAAATTAACATATTCTCTCGGTCGGCTGTTCATGTTATGGAATGCCCATTCTTCTGCTGTCGGGAGGCGGCAAGATATTGAGAACCATGTAGCTCTTCTTCCTTTGCTCGTTTATTGGGTAATGGTCTGAAACAAAAAAAAAAAAAAAAAGAAATACATAGCTGCAATAGCCACACCCCGAATTCTTTGAGACGTGAAATGAATTTAAAATCTAAAGCTCGTTTTATAGGCAACTGTTTTTCGATTCTATATTTAAAAGTTATACCATTACTAACTTTTATCTGTATTTTAACTTTTACTTCTAAAGATTAAAGCTGTTTTTTTTATTTTTTTGAATGACTAAGATTTTAGAGTATTATTACTCAAAAATATGTTTTTCGTTTTTGAAAATTGGCTATGATTTCAAAAAGTATAAACTAAGAAAGAGATTATAGTGTTTTCACAAATCTGCTTTGCTTTTAACGAAAATTAGCTAAAATTTTAAAAGTGATTTTGAAAAAGAGAAAAATCTAATGGACTCTAATTTTTAACTTTCAAGAATTCAGAACGGAAGATTCGGTGGATATAAAGAGAATGAATATGCAAACCATTAGAGAGATAGATAATTTTAAGGCTTTGTTACCTCGGGGAAGTTTGCCGCTTCTGTACATGATTTGCCGCATCAGAATTAGCACTCTCAGGTTCACCAGAAGCCTGAAACCATTTGTCAGTAAATCACAAAAAATAAAAATTAAAAATTAAAAAAATTAAAGAGCCCTTCTACGGAAAATATTAATTGAAATAACCAATTATTTTTAAATCTTCTATTCTCTTCAATTTTACATTCAAGAATGGTTCTCTACAAGATTGAGTTGAATTAATAACAGACATAAGAACTCTAAAAAAACTAAACCAACCATGACAAATTTTATTCAGTGCAAATGCATCATAAATAGCAGAAAGGTTATATCATAAGTTGAGAGGATTGTGTCTAATAAACTCTTAGAACTTTAGAAAGTGTCTACGAAGTCCCATAAACTGTGTCTAATAGATATTTAAAACTTCAAAATGTTTAGCCTATTTAAACTTTCAATTTGGTATCTTATGTGTACTTGATTTTAATTTTGTGTTTAATAGATCTTTCATTTAGAATTAATTCATAGTCAAATTGTGGGATCTATTTAAACATATCATTGGAAGGTTATAGACCTATTAAAGATTTTTTTTTTAAGTTAAAAGAGCTATTAGACACGACCATTAAAGTTTGAAGACCAAACTTGAAATTTAACCTTAAACCATAGCGAAAAATATCAATCCTTCAATCCTCTAGTTATGAACAAAAGAAAAAAAAAGGGCGAAATCAACTACATGGGAGGTACTTGGATAAGGGGTAGAAACTGAGGATTGACCACCGAGCTCATACCTTTTTAAAAATTCAGAGGCAGCATTGGGAAAACATGAAGCAGAGCCCACTTTGCCTTTGAGCGTTTTGGTTTTGGCGCTCACATCTCGATGATGCAATGAGATGAAGTAGAAAGGAGGAGGGTTGTGAGCAGTAACCCCCATCTGGAAATTATTTTCCTTCATACCCTTTATCCAAGCATCACCTATGTTTTTGAACCAGAAAAATCAAATCATCTATCCAATGGGTTACTAGTAATTCGCACCTCGGAATTGTTTTCTTTGTGAGAAACATCTTCTTCTTCTTTCGGCGATTTGTCAACTGCAGCAGGAGCAACAGTGTCCCATAAAAATCCATTTTCACCTCCAATAGAAAGCTTGTCGATATCTGCACCCACGGGTCCCAAAAGAGGCCTGATATGTGCAGCATACTTGTCTGCAATTCCACAGATCAAAATTACATAAGAACACTCTTATCCATGGAGCAATACTGTTCATAACTTCAAACCATCGTCTTCTTAAGTGTTCCCGTGGAAGAAGAGGATAGAAATTTTCAAGCAACATGTTAAAGAGATAAAAACGAAGACTCGTCAAGGTTTAATGTAAAATCAAAAAGGAAAGTTGATCTCTAAGTCCCAAAATAGAAAAGAGAGAATGCATTTTTACCTGCCAAATAATGAAGCGCGTTCTCAGCAGCTTGTTGTTGAGCATCTTTCCTTGTCTTACCCAATCCAACACCGATCTTCTCGCCAGCAAACAAAACCTGAACCAAACAATAAGAAAAATTAGATTTACAAATTTATAACATTATTATGATGGTCAATCTTTTCATCCTAACAAAAATATCTTCCAGTTTTTAATCATCTGTGAGGGCAGCTACCAAAACCAATGAAATATTGATATGGTAAGTTGAGGGGGGGGAAAGAGAGATGAGATCAAGGAATATGGGAAAAAATTCTAATCGTTTACTACTTTAGCTTAACAATTGAAACTATGCTGAGAAATCAATCTTACTCAGGATCTTGAAAATCAACAATCCACAGTTTTTTCTTTTCCTCTTGTTTGTGATACAAAAAAATATTCTGTTTTAGTTAACATAAAAGGCAGCAAAGAAAAAAAAAATTGAAAACTCCATCACACATTTTGTTCATGTACAGTTGAAAATTCTCAATAAACAGCGTTTTTTTCACTGACCTCAACTGAAAACTGCAAATCCTTGCTCGTGCTGACAACAGTTTTGAACTCAACCTGCACAATGAGGCAAAAGTGAGATACAAGTGGTGAAAAACAAAACCATTTAAGATAACAGCGCCATCTACCTTTGAGCTGCATCTACGACCAATTTCTTGCAGAACTCCAATGTACAAAGAGGGAGGAGATATATTAACTTTCCCGGTTTCACTATGATATTCTTTGTTATTGCTAGATGCTCGATTTTGAGATATGGTGACTCCTGCTAAAACTTCAGTCAGGTAAAACTACAAAAATCAATAAACCAGGGAAACAAAATGGTCACGCCCTTCACCATATTCAACTGGTAGAAAGTAAAACCTTGTGAATTGTTGCTAAATGGGTTCTGATGAGACCGATGCTTATCAGCTTTTGAAGCATCAGGTTCTTGAATAAATCCTGAAGATCGACTATTTTGATGTCCTTTACTGGAGTCATCATCCACTAATGAACTTCCTTGCACCTGTAATCCGGATGCTGGTATTTGTACAGGCATTCTGGAGAGAATAGGGGGTTCACCAAAGTTCTGAGTCCTGAGATCTATACCAGGTTTCATAGCAAGGAGTCCTCTCTTCATGTCATAATCACGGTCAGTAGAGAGATCTCGTCGTATAGGAGCTCCAAGCAAACCAGGCTCTAAAACAATATGGAGAAACAAATGAGTTGTGCTACTCTCTTCAAAGAGGCAAGTCAGGTTAAACCATAACATAATGTATTATACAGTTTAAGTAACCAGAAATTGAAGTAGGAAAAGTAACAGAATGTCTTCATGGAAGTTGGTTTCTCACTTTAAATAAAAAGTAAGAGAAAAAATATAAGAGGCCATACTTTGAGAAGGCAGAAGATTTCTTGAAGGTTTTGGTCCAGTGACATTAGGACTAACAGGAGGAGGCAACTGAGAAGCGTCTGCTCTTATATCCACATTGCTTGTCGTAGGATTATTGACCATGTCTATTATATGCTTATCATCCTGAAGTGTTAAGAGATAGAAAAAGACCTTCATTCTCGCATCTCTAATAACACGAAACATTTGGTAAAATAGCATGTATGAAACTCACCGGCTGATTCAATCTCCTTTCCACTTCAACACCATTCATTCCTTCACCAATTGGAGCATTCACATTCTCATTGGGTACAAAACCAGCTTCCTATCAATAATAAATAGGTGAAGCAATAAGTAAATATTTATTACACTAATCATTTAATTGTAAGGGTGGATGTTTTCCATCTCAAATACCTCTGACATCATGTAGCTGCTCACATCAGGAGCATGTGGTAGATCAACCACATCATCTTCATAGGAAATTTCAAGAATCCGTCGCAACAAAGTCTCATCAAATTCTCTGAGTAAGAATAATTATATATGAATAACTTAAAAAAAAACAATAAAGGTATGTGTTTGTGTTAAGCAGGTTAGCACGGCTATCTACACTTACTTGAAGTAACAACCCCTGACATTGCATGCAACATTTCTTGCCACACAGAGGACAGGTACCGCATTTGCTGTCTATTCCAAAGAAAAATAACATCAATAAGCATTCAATTCTATCTTAATTAATTTATTTAAAAAAACTTAAAATGAGACAAGGCTCCATACCTCTGCTTGAGGAGCATAATAAGGAGTAAATGCTGGAACTACATGAACGCGTGGTTGGTCTTTGTCTTCCCAAACCTTTGAACGGTCATCAATAACCATTGCCATCTTCGGATGACATGTACCAGATTGGAAGACATTCAGCAAAGATTTTCTAGAACCTGCCAAGTCCCCCAACTTAAGTTATTGGTGTTAAGTTTCCAAAAAAAAGGAAAAAACGTAATGAAAAACAATAGGCTTACTCTATTCTTCTACTTCTAGGAGTGATCCTACTTTATGTTTTTCAATTTACATGCTATTAAAACAAAAGATTCTACCGTCCATAAAAAAGTATTTTAATTTCAAAGCATGTTCTTTTAGAGATGCAAAATTCTGCTGCACAAGGTAGGTTTGAGTGTTAACAAAAAACCATCAGGGAAGACACCAATATGTAAAATCAGTGACTTCCAGTTCAGAATAGGATTGATGATTAGGTTTGTTACCTGATTTGACACATACAACACGATCAAGAAGCTGCTTTGTTGCAATCAAGTGTGCTTCTGGATCAAGAAGCCTCCACATTTCAAGTGCATAATCTCTTTCAGCCATAGTACATACATAAACTTCAAATCGCTTACGTCCCCTGGCAGTCAAGTAGCTTCTTAAGTCTTCCCATGCAGGACGTAGCCTCACAAGAACACTGGTATCACGAATCTGCATTGAAAAAATGATTTTAGAATGATAGAAGACCCCTCCGAGTCATTACAATAGGCCAATAGGTTCATCCCAGTCATTACTTCTGTGAATCTTATATAAAACCAGGTATCTTAGTCACCACAACGTCACGCAATTCATTGAAAACAATATATCTTCATGTTCTTCCTAATTCTTTAACTTATGTTGCTGATGGTCAAAGTTAAAGCATATAAACGTCTTTCCTATTCAGAAAAGAAGGAAAGTAAAGACAAACCAAGCTACAGAATCCTACATTTCCTCTGGCCCTAACCATTAGGAGAGTTGAGTTAGATGAAATCTTTTTAGATTCCTTCCAAGAGACCTATTCTCTCATTAAATTGAAAATTTCTCAGTTAAAAATATCTCATTAAGATCAGTATACCGAAATGCAATGCCCAAAATGAATCCAAAAGTCCATAAAAATGGGAAAAAACAAGAATAGAAAGAAATTATTGGCACAGCGCCAGTAAATAATAGCATCAGATTTAGAGCCAACCTCTGGATTGATGCGAGTAAGAACAATATTCTTATCCAGCAATCTAATTATAGGACGAACTACTTTCTCGCAGTTCCCATTTAGTGGAGGAACCTCCTCCAGCTGCACCTTATAAATCCTTCCATTATCGATGACAGTATCGTTCTCAAGGTACTGTTTCAACAGCAACCGATCATCCATGTACCGCTTGAGTTCAGCAGACATTCCAGATATACGCATTGGATCTGTCTCCCGCGCAATCCAAACTCGAAGAGCTTCAATTCGATCCTCAAACGACTTCATAGTGTTTGCTACAATAAGCGTCTCGTCTAGATCAAAAACAATTGCAAGACACCTGAGATTTAGCATTCCTAAACACGATAGATATAGACCACAGGGCACCGCAAAGCACCAAAAGCACGGAAAATTCTTCTGCTTGCTCGGCATTGCAACCAGGTGAATTTCTTCGTCCCCAACCAACACAATTGCCGTCTGTAAGTTCGGAAAAGAACGTCAGAATCCAAATTACAAACTAACCTTACACTACCGTCTCACTTGTATACATCTTCTGCACTCCAAATTCACACTTGATTTTTATCATTAAAAACTCATCAGAACTGAAAATCGGTGTCTATATCACAAACATGCACAAACAAACACACATACATTTCTTCTCAGAAACAAAGAAAGAAATAAATGAATGAAGCAAACGAGCAGGACCTTCAATTCGTGGAAGCAAGAGTAGTGAAGCTGGATCAAGTGCGGCTGTTCAACAGGCAAGGAAGATTGGAGCTTAGACCTGAGAGAAAACGAAGAAATTGTCTGAAGAACAGAAAGAGGAGGGCATCTTTCACTGGGCGGCGATATGTGCTGGATTCTAATCTCGTTGTTCGGAAACTGAAAATTGTGGTCGGTGGCCGGAATAGCGTCCAGTTCCCCTAGACGCACGTCGCCGTGATAGACCACCGATTTGAACCCTAAGCGGCTCATTCGGAAGAAATTACGGAAACGTAGAAAGAAAACGCAAGATAGAGAGAACAGAAAATGTGTGAGAAATTGTTCGATAGAGTTGTTGAAAATGGAGTATCTCTCTCCGTTTTTTCTCGTCGCTGGAACTGATCTTCTCTCGTCAGTCTCTCTCCCACAGCCCCACCACTCTCTCTTCCGCGCGCTCTCTTCTCTTCCCCAACTTTTTCTACCTTCGTGGCCTCAGCCCTATGGCTTCAAACAATTAACACAACGTAGCGGGTTCTCATTTATAGGCGCCACGCTCCAGCCGGTATTTATACTGTTGGCAAAATGTCGAAATTACGAAAATGGCTATCCTTCTCCGGCCCGGCCCGAATTTCATTTATTTTTCTAATCAATTTTAAAATGTAACCCGTTTTTAAGTTTCAAATTTGACACTTTATGACCCCATTGTAATGATTTCTGTTTTTTATTTTTTATTTTTCTGTTTTATTTTTTAGTTTCTGTTTTTAGAAAACAAAAATCATATGTTTCATTGTGTTTTTAAAAAATAAAAAATCAAACCGGTTTCATAACCATTTTTTTTTGTTTTTAAAAGGTAGAGAGTTAAAAGATCTTATAGCGATAGTAAAATTCATGTAAAATAGAGATAACAATGAGATGAAACTTGAGTCGAGTCCCCGCCTCATCCTCGTAGAAATTTTACCGGTTTTGTGACAAAGATCTTCAGAGATAAAATTAACAGTTTAGTAATTAATTTTAATTATTTTTAGAATTTAAAAAGTGAAAAAGAATAATAAATTTATATAAACTATATCTATTATTTTATTTACTAGCATAAAGAATTAGTTTTAGAAAATATTTAATATTATAATTTAGTAAAATAGTTAATAAAATATGTATTTATTATTTAAAAAAATGGAATTGATGAAGGGGTTGTGAAATGATGGGAAATACATCGCTGTCTTTGGAGCGAGTACCCAATCCTTAAAAAAAAATGTCTCCTTAATGTTAGACATAAAAAATAAGAGTTGGGAGAGATAAAAATAAATTTTTTAAAGATAATTTTAACCGATCATACAAGATAAATAAAAATACTTAGAAAACGAAAAGTTAGAGAAAAGAAAATTAATGAGAGAAATGTTAAAGACAAAAAGAGAACATTTTAGAGAAGAGAGTAAAGTTGAGAGAAAAAAACATGTTAGAGGAAAAAAAATATTAGAAAAAGAAAGAAAAACTAAAGTGAGGGAATTTTTAGACAAAAATTCGAGATAAAAGCGAGATATATATTTGCTAGATAAAACAATAAAATAGAAAGAGAAAAAAATATAAAATGCGGAATTTATAGAGAGAAAAATAAGAGTTTTTTTAGTACGAGAAAAATCAGAGTTATACGTTAGAAAAATAAATAAATAAAAATATATATAGATGAAATTTGGAGAAAAAACAATAATAATAAATATTGGACATGCAAATTTTAGAGAGAGAAAGATAAATTTTTTAGAGAGATAAATTAGGTAGGAAAAATTTTTAGAGTGAAAAATAAATTTATTAGATAGAAATAAGTATTACAAGAAAAATAAAATTTTCTAAAACAGAAATATGTCGTTAAAAACTTTTTTTTTTCTTCTCAAATTCACTCAGAATCTCAATAAATATGATTAGAAAATTGGTTATCACACAAGTATATTTTTAAAAAATAGTTATCAAACCACACTTATTTGTTAGGTTTGAAAAGTTGTTCTAAATAGTTTTTAAATTCATTTAACTTGATTAATGAAAAAGATGATGTGGTGGTTAAATCATCATTATAGATTATTGACATCGCAAAATATATCAATATAATATTATTTTTGAGTGATTGAACTTTGAGGCCTAAGCTCTCTTCCCTTATTCTCCTTCTCCTCCAGCGAACCATGTCGTCATCATTGTTGCCATGTCCCTCATCGTTGTTCGCCTCGTTATCACTCGTCTCCTTTCTCTCCTCATTACTACTAAACAAAGAAACGAATAAGGAAATATCTAAAATTTCAGTTCGCTCATCTCTTCTCTACATTTCTTCTAGAAAGATTTGGAATAAAGGACCTCCTCTGTGGTCCTTCGTTTTAGATCTGTCTAACAGGAAGCTTCCTTTGTTTTGGTCTCGTTCTTCTTTCTTTTGTTCTTCGTTCTTATAAATTATTAGTAACGATGGGAGGGAAGATGAGTAATAACAATAAGGAGGCGACAACGTCAGCAACGAAGTTTGCTGAAGGAGAAGAAGAATGTGGGAGGAGAGCTTGGCCACCTCATAGTCCAACCACTCAAAAATAATATTATATTGACATATCTTGTCATGCAACAAGGTACGATTAGCATTTAAGCATCACATCATCTTTTTCGTTAGATTGTCAAATGAACTCATAGACTATTTAGAATAAATTTTCAAACTTAAGATTAAAGTGTACTTTCTGAAACCTCATCAACCAAATATACAGCTAACCCGGACCTCGTGAACCAAAAATGTATTTTTGTCATACCTTTTTAGTTCAGCAATTATAATGGTAAATTAGATAGGTAACCTCAAGAAAAATAATTGATGTCTTATTTATGAAATATGTTCATATTAACAAAATATATGTATATGATTTAGGGAAAATAATCGATTTTTACCCTCGACTTAGTGTATCTATTTTTATTCTAAATTTTCAATTTCTCCAACAGACATTTTAAACTTGGATAATTGTCGCAATTTTTACCTTAAACCTAAACAATGGTTGTAATTTTTTACAAAATGACGGGCTCCTATTTGAATATATGTAAAAAAACATATTCTCAAGTATGTTTAATGAATCATAAAATATATGCATGCTACGTAATTGATATTGGTGTTTTTTTTCTTGTTTTGAGTTTTTCTAGAGTTATTTTCCATTTAGTGACTTTTGAGAGATTTTTGTATATTTTAAGTTAAAGTTAATGGGTGACTTAGCAAAAATTGATATGAAGATAAAAATTACCATACTATTCTAATTTTAAGATTTACTTAGAAGAAATTGAAAATTTATGCTGAAAATGATGCACATTGTTATTTTCAAGGAAAAAATTGATGTTTTTTTCCTATTATTTATTATCTGGTCCTTTTTAAAAAAAAAAGTTAAATGACTAAATTTGTCGTTCTCTTTGGGCTTCGTTCAACCTACTCTCCAAAGTTTTTTTTTTTATTTTTAATTTAATTTCAATTGTTGGTCGAACCTTACTAACTATTTATATGTCGTTACTTTATTATTTTTTTCCTTTGAGAGGTCATGTCATTACTTTTGTTTTTGTTTTTTTTTTTTAAACGTGTATGTCATTACCATATTAAGTTGGAGACATGATTTATATCTGTGTAATAATAAATTTATGTTTTTAATAAATTCAAATTCACGACATTTCGGTATCTTAACCAGTTAAGCTAGACTCAAGTTGACTCTAATATTAACTATGTTAATTGACATATTATTAAAGCTTAGGATAATATTTTTTTAAAAATAATTTTTGAGTGGATAGAAATTTTTTTTTAAACATATTTATAATGCTAGTATGTTGCTAACATGAGCATAACTCAACGGTAATTGACACCTACTCATCCTCTTCCAGTTCAAGGTCCAAACTCCCACACCCCCAATTTGTTGTACTAAAAAGAGAAAGAAAGATAATACTAATATTCTATTGTCGACCTGCGTTTAGCTCAACCGATAAAGACACCTATTTCCAACCAATAAGGTCGTGAGTTCAAATCTCCAACTCCATATGTTTGTACTAAAAAGAAATAATACTAGTATGCTACCATGTACAAAGGTGAGTTTGAATCTTCACACCTACATGTTGTATTAAAAAAAATTGTATTCTAGCTAAAGTTTTAAATGTCGATGTCGATAAAAATATATCAATAAAATGTCGACGTCGATATATATTTATGGAAAATTTATAAAAGTAAAAAACTTCGTAAAAATATTTAAACTAACAAATAAGCATTTTATCATTTCTAAATAAGTTAAAAATGATATTTAATACCATAATTATAGCTAATAAATAAAGAGAGTATTGTATATTTCAAATATTTTTTTAAGTACAACAAGTGGGGATGGGGAATTCGAACTCATCACCTCTTTATCAGATACATGTGTGAATTACTGCTCGACTAGGTTGATGTTGCATATATTTCAAATATTTATACATAGGCAGATGAATTGTTAAAACATTTATATATTATTACATGAGATTGAGACAGATGACTCCTGCTATATTACCATATTAAATTACGAATCAACTCAAAAACTTAAATTGATGGTTACAATAAATTTAATCTTTTATAGATATTTATAATATTTTATAGATCATACCTTAACATATACCGCTAATATGGTAATTAAGACACCTTACTCCTTCTTTGAGATGGGAGGTTGGATCCCATCCCCACATTTATTATACTAAAAAAATATAAACCAACAAAAAAAAATTCTCATTACCACTTATTAAGTTCACCTCACAAGTCACATATATCATTCTTATTTTATTATTATTATTTTCTTTTAAATACCCTCACCATTGTTCTAATTGAGATTTTAAAAAAATTAAAGATTATTGAAAAGTTAGGAGTTTACTTTATACATAAACATATAAAGCTATGATATATATATTAAAGTTAAGGCACATATTATGACCAAAATGTCATGAGTTCGAACCTTCACCCCCACATGTTGTATTAAAATATATATATATATATATATATATATATATATATATATATTAAAGTTATAATGTTGAACGGTACAAAATACCCTGAAATGTAGGTAGGGAGGGTAGGTTTCATGGATCCATTTAGTAATATTCCCGTTTATTGTTTATTATTTTTAAATTTACTAAGAAACTCAAGCATTTAACAAATATTTATGTTTATGCATTTTTTCTAAAAACATTCTTAAAAGTGTGTAGAAATTTTGGAAATAGCAAAAACAAGTTTTTTTTGTTTTTTTTTCCTCATTTATAATTTATTCCAAAACATAAATAAAAATATTGTTTTATCAACTGGGAGTCATCCAATTCTAATTTTTTATTAAAAAAATTAGAAACAATAAATGAAAATGTTATCAAACGGACCCAATAATATACCTCTCTAAACTTTCAAAAGTTTCATTTTTACCTTTAAACTTTAAACTTGTTTCAAAATTACCCTTCCATTATCTTTTCCACTAAAATCAAAATAGAAAAATGACATGACGGTGACAATTTGTAAATAGTGATACACAT